AATTGCCGCATATTTTCATCACGTTTCTGTTGTTGTTGTTGTTGTTGCTGTTGCTGTTGTTGCGAAGCTGACTGATGTTGATGATGTGCACCCGCTGGGTGATGTGGCGGATGTTGCAATTGCTGCGAGTTACGCTTGCGTGCGTGTGCCGATGTGTGTATTGTGCCGGCGGTAGCGGTTACTCCAGTTGCTCCAGTTGCTGTTAGGGTCTCTTTGCCCTGTTCGACGCTGATGAAATCACCTTCATTCTTGATAAGCAACGTTTCCACGGTGTTGTCTAAGCTCAAGGACGGCTGTTGTGGCACAGCAACAGTAAAAGATAATTCCCCGAAGTTCGCGAAAACACACAGAAAATCGGTGTGTAGGATGGATTGCGAATGTCATGAAAAGAGAAAAAAAAAAGAAGAGAAAGTTAGAGGTTATGCAAACATATCGCACGGTTGAACTTATGTACTAGATAGTCTTTTACGCATACATTATGGACTTAACTGTAAATTGCAATTTTATGCGGTGAGCACTTGTAGCTGATAGTCAGATGCAAAGCTTTCTTATACATATATGTAAGTATGAATGTATGAAGAGTAGTACTACTCTATGCGAGTATAGCTCAACATGTTGCACGTTGTAGCTGTTAGCTGTACGCAACTTGCACTGTAGTGGCAACTTATGTGCATATTTAAGTGCAGAGGAAGAAATGAATTTTTGAACGCAGCATTTTCTGTTGAGAATTTAGCTATGCATAAACACGTCTTCTGAAAGCACTGCAATACTTTTGGGGATTTTGAGTTGTAAAAGAGATGCTTGCATGAGTGTGTTTAGAGAGACGTAAATAACTACAAATACTTGCATATGCTTGTTGATAATTTTTTAAGTATGCTAGTATGTTGGGCACTTAGCATAAAATTCAAAAAAAAAAAAAAACTGCAACGACCAAATACATTTTCAAGCAACAGAAATAATGAAAAATATTTCTAGTGATTTTTCTTGAGAGTTGCATTCTAAACTTTACGCAATCCGCAATGAAGTGCACTAGATATTTATTCACATTATTTGATTCCAAAATTACAACTATTTTTTATTGAAAGTAATGTAGGTAGGTTCAAAATAAGTTTTACTTATTGCAAATACTTTAAAATTTCTGCTTAAAATAGGCATTTTTTTAAATATATTCTCTTAGCTCTCTCTGCGCATGTATATACTTCCCTCTGATTTCTTTCTCAGAAATATGCTATTCCTTTGCATTTCAATTAAATAAGCTTTATTTTATTTTGCGCCACAACGGCTTAAAAATACATACAATAAAAGCTTAGGCTACTTTATAAAAATACTTAGTAATACTTTAATGCGTTTGTTTACTTTGGCGCTGCTTATATGTGTGCATACATGTAACTACTTTTATACATACATAAGTACATGCAACACAATTCTATTTGGCAAAGCCTATTGTTGAAAGGAGTATTTTTCTATCGAAGATAAAACACATTTATTTTTTCTAATGGCGTTTTCGTTTCTAC